CAGTGGACTTTTCCAAAATAGGCGTATTAGCTTGTTTGTAGTATGCATGCAGAATATCACTGTAATATACTACTGGAATTGGAATATCAGATTTTGTTGTGGCCAGAAATAAGAACTAGAGCTATGGTATTGGTAGGACGTGGGTTGGGTTTGGATTTAAATCGTAGAAATTAGTAATATGCATTTGTAGTTTACAGTCAGTAACCCTGGTTTAGATCTAGAAAACAAGCCTACAACGAAAAGTTATTGTAAGGATTTTAATTTTAGTTATAAACAAGCTATTTGTGGTTTATATTTTTTGAAAAGTTCGCTAACATCCCATTGGTCCAACTACAACCTTTGACCCACGACCTCGGACTATAACCAAGCTACGCGAGCTAGGCCAAGTCTTACAGAAACACTTGACAATGCCTCCTTGTTGTGAAAATACCCCAGGATTTCACCTTTGACCCCTCTGTTTCTCTAGTACCCCGTCCCAGCATGGAGGACTGGAGATTTCAGATAAAATCTTTTGGAACTGACACAATTCCAAATATAAATTGTCAAACCACGGCACCTCGCTCGGAGTGATAAAAGTATGCTTGGACGGTCACTCAGAGTGATTTCCCTTGTTCTGTGCACTTTCAAGTAAAGTTGGACCTTTAGGGCAAAATGACGATTTTTTAAAGAGGGGATTTAGCACGCTCCCATACAGATACGTTAAAATATCACTGCTATAGTCAATCATGATGGAAGTTACTGATTGTCTGTATTAGTAATAAAATTAACATAAAACCTTTATAATAATACTCGTTTTTATTGCAATAAAAATAAGGAAATAAAACACACATTTTCTTAAGTTAAATTAAATTAATAGATATATATCTTTATGGTAAAGTTTTAAAAGTGTATTTGAATCAAAGAAATTGCGGGTAATTGCGAGGACTTTACAGCCTCCACAACATAAGTGTGGATATTTGGGTAAACGGAAAAAAAGTCACAGGAAAAAAAACACAGAAAAAAAGTCACAGTTTTTGCTAGGAAAAAAAGTCACAGAAAAAAAGTCACAGTGGAAAAATTTTATCGGAAAAAAAGTCACAGAAATAAAGTCACAGAAAAAAAGTCACAAAAGTCTTTTTAGAAATATTTTTATTCGTTTGTTAAGAATTGTAAATTTTGTATGTTTATTGTTGTGGGTTGTATTTTTTTATAGCATAAATTTTTTATAGACGTTAAAAGCATTATGATTTATAACAATTGTAAGTAAAAACACTCTAAGATAATTAACACAACAATCTCAACTTTTGTTACGTATTTAGTTAAATACGCGGTAGAAAAGTTAATTATAAAAGAAATTTAGGCACATTTTGCCGTAGGCTATTCTCTGGTCGGCCTCTCCTCAGTAGGCATTGTCCGAACATATTTTGTGTTGTTGACGTTATGCGTCAATGATAGCCTTTGAACCTTGTCGGCTTTCTTATTGATCTTAAGTTTTGTTATGTAATGAGCGTGATAAATGTGGGCAGTAAAGGTGGTTGAACTATTGTTGCCATGAGTTGAGGGCAGCAAGTCAGAAGAACTTACTATTTCACGGTAATTTAATATTGGTATTTAAAAAAAAAACACGATGAAAAACGTGACTTTGGAGCATTCTATTAAAAGCTAGTAATCTTAAGTTTAACATAATTACAATATACGGACTTCATAATAAATATTTTTAGATGAATTATAAAAATTCCTATGCGTATACAGCCTACACACATTACATTACATTTAATTAATCCTAAGTTAATTTGCACTCTCTAAATACACTCTTTAATACATAAAAGTATTAACAAATATCATGCAAATATATATTTGTGACTTTTTTTCCTGTGACTTTTTTTCCTGTGACTTTTTTTCTGTTTTTTTTTCCTGTGTTTTTTTTTCCTGTGACTTTTTTTCCTACAATCGATATTTGTGTAGTGTGTGTGTGTGTGTGTATCTGAGGGGACGGTAACTTGTAACTAGACTTTTAAAGGGGAGTAAGTCACTGTCCACAGTGACCATACGGTATACCCTGCAGTCTGACACTTCTAATATTTGCTCAATGTTGCGCTCGTTAATCCTAATCCCTGGACCTGACGCAGGCTGCCAGGTAACTGTAACAGCTAGTGCTCACTGTTGCAACTTTCACCGTGACCCCGAGAGCGGGTCACAGTGGTCGCTAAATCACAAGGGGAGTTAATCTACGGCCGCGGGAATTAGAGTCATCTCCCCTATTCCCCCCCTCGCCGTCTGAGACGAGACAATGAAATGAAACTCTGCTTGCACGAAAGTAAACAAAGAGACCACGCAACGCAGGACGGCGGGGCTTAGGATTTGTCTTCTCTTGCCCACCCCCTCACCCCTATCTATTGTTTACACCAGTTATGTTAGCGTTACCTCATGCTGTCGTGTGATGGTTAGGTCGTTGGGTAACACAGGGGATAAGATGATTAGGGTTGTATGTTACACCAGTTAGGTTAGCGTTACCTCATGCTGTCGCGTGATGGTTAGGTTGTTGGGTAACACGGGGGATAAGATGATTAGGGTTGTATGTTACATCAGTGTTCTTTACTGTCTGCCGCAATAGTGGAATCTTCTTAAAAAAAAGGGTGTTAGGTTACAGATAGCAAACTAAACACTTTTAAAATCTGGTATTTTCAATACAACCCCATCCCAAACCTTATCCTAACCTTATCCCAAACCCTTACACAAACCCTATCCTAAACCCTAAACCAAATCCTGTAATAAATCCTAAACTAAACCCTATCCCACGTCCTGGCATAGCCCTACCTTCTGATCGTATTACAAACCAGATATTACAATACGATTCAGAACTGAATTCATGGGTCTTTTGTTGGCCCAATCGGAATGGGGGGGGGGGGGGGGTTATATGGATTTAACATCCTCTTTCATCCACTACGTAAAAATGCGTACTTAATTTTAATACAACCGGTTAATTGTTATATCGTACAGCTCAATGAAAATTGGTTTAAAAATAGAGTTTTTTTAATTTAAAAAAATCTTTTGTTTTGAAGGAAAGTTGGTAACATATTCGATTCTTAAAAAATGTGAATGCACATTTTTGTTGATGATAAAATATTATCGCACCATAGGTGTGCGTAGCTGCATATCTCAGAGGCTGGGACAGACTTCAAGTTACCTCGTCGATTGTAGGAAAAAAAAAGTCACAGATAAAAAGTCACAGAAAAAAGTCACACATGTGTATTAGCATGGGATTAGTTAATATTTTATGTTTCCAGAAAGTGCAAATTAAATATAATGTAAATATTTTAAACATGTGCATATGTTGTTTTTGTAAGGTAACATTTATAAAACACGTTAATATATTTAGTCTGATGTAGGTTTTAATTCCATTTTAGTAGATAATTAAGTAAAATGTTCAAACCTACTAAGTTTTCATCGTCGTGTTTTTTAAAGTACAAACTTTGTCTTTAGTGCAAAAAGGGAATAAGCCATAGTTAGTATGATTTGTTGCCCTCAACTCGTGGCAACAATAATTCATAATTCAGCCACCTTTACTGCCCACGTTTAGCGCCCTCATTACATCACAAAGCATAGAATTAAGAAAAAAAGCCGACACGGTTGAAGCAAAACGTCAACAATACACAATGTGGACGGAGAAGGACGACAGAGGAGAGACCTACGGCAAAATTAAAACTCGTTGATGTGCCAACTTTTCTTAAATAATTAATTTTTATACAAGGTATTCAAATAAATACGTAACAAAATCTGAGGCTGCTGAGAAAATTATCTTTTAGTATTTTTAATTATTATGAAGATCTAAGTCGGATTATTATTAATAACCAAATTAGTTTTAGAGTTTATAAATATGTTACTAAAATCACTATCCATATTTATAAACACCCACAATTTTAGAATTCTAAACAAGTAAATCAAAACATCCCTAAATACACATTTGTTACTTTTTGTCTAGACTGAATTTCTGTGACTTTTTTTCGATAAGATTTTGTGTGTGACTATTTTCTAAATTTTAAAATTTCCTAGTAAAAACTATAGACATTTTTTTGCTAACTTTTTTTTACCGTTCACTGTGCCAAAAAATACTTTTATTATTCAAATGCACAGATTTTTAGAATTTGCCGTCAAATTAAAAGCCAATGGGTCATGATTTAAAAAAAAAAAGCTGTTTGTTCTTATCCTAGCTCTACGACAATGCTAATTAGATTTTAATTAATCAGTAAAAAAAAACAGTAACACGATTCGGTCTATATATCCTATACTTTTTGGTGTGTGTGTGTGTGTGGGGGGGGGGGGGGGGTGTGACACCATGAGGTGCCGCAACGGGTGACACCCAACCTAGCGACACCACTGCATAATCGTTTGCCCTAGATCCATACTTAATCCTGTACCTAAACATCGAAAATGGCAGGAAAAAAAAATATTCTATATTTTCTGCTGTCGCTTTTTTTTTTTAAATAAAAAAATCAGACTTTTTTTCCTAGAACTGAATCCCCGACTCCTTTTAAAAAAAATCCCTTTAAATGTTCTCACATTACATATAACATATTTATTGCTGTTCAAGCTTTCTTTTTTTAAAACAAAGGTTAACGAAAATTACACAATTAAAAATAAAAATAAACAACTGATAATTTAGACCTAAATCTTAAAAAATTAATCTGGTGATAAAAATATATAGGGCCTGTACAATTTGTAACAAGAAATGTCAGCTTTGTCTGTCCATCGTGAAATTACCGGAATCTCACTTGAAGATAGCAGTAGCCAAATGTCACTAAAGCCGTACGCCAATAAACGAAGGTATGTCTGCCTTGTATGACTAAACCAGGTATGTAGAGATGGCGAGGGGGAAGGGGGGGGATAAAGCAGGACAAGGGGACTGCTCGGTGACAGTTTTTCCTGTTCTCCCCTCCACAGCGAGGCGGTGACGAGGAGAAATTGTCACCCGCACCGTTTTACCCAGCTCTGTAGCGAGCGAGGGGGGACAAAACCGTGAACACAGCGACGACACCGGATTTAACATCTGCACTTGGACCCGTCCACTCGCCGCGACTATTCCATTCTTCTTCAGTGAATGTTTGTAGTAGTCCCTAGCAGTCTTTAACCCAGGCTTGAAGTGTTAAAAGCAATAATTGTTCTTTCATATTGACGAGTTACTTAATAGTGACACAGTCAACTTAGCCGTAGGAAAACATTACACACACAGTTCGTAAAGCGCGGTGGATAATTAGGCTTTAATCAATTCATTAACTTTCCTGTGGATGGTGTGTGTATGTGTTCATTGTCGTGAGGCTGGTTGGTAAGGAGGTCAATACCTACTTCAGTCTACGAGAGGCAGCCCTCGATGTACAAGCGAGCGTGTTGACTTGAGACACGATTTGTCGCCCAGGTATGTGAAATAGCTGTTAGTGTTACCTTAGTTATAGACTTGTATATAATTCAATATAATTAATTTAAAAATAATTATTGGTATTTTATAGGACGTATAGATAATAGAGTATAGGCATATTAGTAGGTTGAATTATGGATTTTTTAAAATAAAATATTCTGTTATTTTAAAAACACCATTAACTTCCTTACCCCTTAAGAGAACATTTGACACCACATTTAAATATCTAGCTTACTCGGTTGACAAGAAAAGAGAGAATTTAAAAATTATCTTAAAATGGAAAATGAACGAGGAAACAGCATTCTTACTCCTCGACCGGCATAACATTACGTCGTGGACTTGTGTGCACGAGCTTTTAATTCCCGCCATGGTAATTGCGTCAGCTTAGGTAATTTACTCACCGGAAAATAACAAAAAGCAACTGGTTGATAATAAAACTAGATCTAGATCTAGTTATTTTATTATTTATTAAGTTCTACTCTACATGTTATTCATACCATTTTATGAAATAATAAACACATGCATAAATCAAATGACCATAATAAATATTTTTATTTCAAATTCTAATTTTCTAATTTTAAATAATAAATATGCTGACATTCATACATCGTATTAGTGTATTTTTTTTTTTTTACATTACATTTTTTTTCATCTTGAAAGCATGACGTATGTGATTTTTTTTAAAATAAAATCTCCAAACATCGTCACTCGCGTGATTGCTTGCTGACGTTTACTATCCCATGGATGAAAAATCCCACCACGGTCACGGGGTCACCGTGACTTTAGCAGGCCTATAGTACACGTCATAGAATGAACACGCGTACACGAGATGGTCGGTGTCTTCACTTCTCTCTCTCTTCCCCCCCCCCCCCCCCTTCTTCAAGCAAATTGAAAAACAGACCTACTTCCCTACTTCTGGACATTTTTTAAAAAGTTCGGTCATTTTTTGTTTAAAGTTACATATCAGGCATGCTAGATTATTTTTTTTTAACTAGATCTGTCTACGTCTAGCTTAAAAAAATAAATAAATAAACGCTTAAAATGCCCGTAAACAGATTATTTAGCGCCAAAAAAAAAAGGCCGCTGAACGAGCATTTTTTTAAAATACGCAGCAATGAAAAAGGCTAACGGCCGATCAATTAAGTCTAAAAATCGCCCGTAATTAGGCCTAGCTCTGAAAAAGGCCACTGAACGAGCATCACTGATTATATAAACGAATAGGCCACGCAGCGTTGACGAGGTTAGCCACCGGTCACGAATGCAGCAACTGTCGGCCCACAGTGAAGAAAAAATCAATATACTAATAAAATTACTAATACAATAATAATGTCCATAATTTTACTTTTTCCGCACATGCTACAATTGAATTATAATTAAAATACTAGACTTAACAGTTCATTCCGCAAAAAACAAAAACTAGTTGTTTCTGTCTGGCAACTAGCGTAACAATGATGCAACGTTACTAAAAATAGCAGAGAGAAATTGTCGCATGGTTACTTACGGGGTAATTGGATTTTTGGTAAAGATCATCCATAATACTGTAAATATACATGGTAAATATCTCAATTATATATTAATCTACTGTTATACGGGCCGTTTTCCCGGTTATACGGTCGTTTTTGGCCGCGGTTCAGTTTATACGGAGAGTGCTCCACTAGAAATCCTCTCATTATTTACAACTACAATTCTAGCGATTTTTTCTGGCATTCTAAGGCATATTATCCATATTATTAGCATCTTGTGTTAAAATGATAAGAATTTGCGAGATTAACAGCTTTTTCATTTGTCGTGGATAGGACCCCTAAAATAAACGTAAAAACCGTCAGAAAACGACGCGTGACGTTTCAGGGTCAGAGGTCAATCCAGCCATCTAAGCAATGAGGCGGCCTAATATTAGTATATTACTTGTATTAGCTAAAGCAATAAGAATAAATACATGTTATAATAAATATAATTATAGTAATATTTTATTTTATTTCATTAAAACTACTTTTTTTGTATCTAGGCCTATATGTATTATATTATGTATTTATTTATTTAATATATACTAGATCTATATACAATACAGTCGTCTTGTAAATAAGATATTTCATGCAAGTGTAGTTAAGTTACTAGCAATTATTTTTTTTACTATTGAGTTTCGTGTTTTCTGCCGAAAAATCTTTTTCCTAGTTGTCACTTCAATTTTTTTTTTACTGGTCGATTCATTCAAATCGAATATCGTGCCTTGAAGGTAATTTGTTGGTTACAAAATATAAATTACAAAAAAGTTCAGACTAATTAATTAGCCCAATGTATCCAGTATCTAGTACAAGAATTAGACCCAGAAGTTGATTTAAAAAAAACCGTTAAATTGTATTTTTTACTGTACAGTGTGCAAGCCGAAGGTAACCATAGAAACCGATGTGTTTCCGGTCTTGAGATTGATTTCCATCGTAATGAAACACACAGTGCCTATGTGCTTATACTTATAAACCGATGATAAATATTTATTGTAATTTTACTGGGAAGTTTCTAAGACTGCATTGACCTTGATACTTCATCATTTATGTGATGAGTAAAATTGTATAGAACTTGTGACTAAATATATAGGTAATTGTCCCCCCCCCCCCCCCCATCCCCCAATTTGGCAACTTTCAACCTTTTGATAAAGCAAGCAAGAGAACGAACCAGTCCATATTCCCTGCGGGATTTGGTCCCGCATCGTCTTTTGTTATCCAAATGATGTCCGATGTCTAGGCCTGTACTTCTTAACCCAAGGGCTCACCTCATCACGTGACTACAATAACCCAGAGCTTAAGGCAGATGCGATGCCTAACAACAATGCCTTTGTTACGTCCACTTAATATTCCCTGCTCTAAGTCTTGTAAGCCGAGGTCACGTGATCTTGTTTTACATACACGTGTTTTGTCGCACAATGATGTCACAACGAACCATCACAAGAGGAGCTCTATTAGAACTTTTTGTCGTCCCCCCCGGGTCCCCTCCCTGACACCCACACTTTCCCCTCCATTTTGGCTGGTGCATAATCGTCCAATTATAATTTTTGTGAAGTCTATGTGTATGCCACCTTGTTGGATAAAACATGTTCAGATTCTTACACAAAACTACACAGCCGGGGACTGGACAAAATGGAAGATTATGGTTGAGGTCCTAAGTTCCACATCCAGTAAAAGTGACCAAGTCATACAGCAAACATATAGAACCCCGTTCTTTAATTTAATATACCATTTAAAAATTCCAACTTATTATGAATTTAAACTTTTCAAAATGTTTTAATTTTATTAAATTTTAAAAATGTTATTCAGCACTTGCACTACAAAGGAGTTTTTTCCAACCTTCTTAACTTAAAGTGCGTAGTGTACCCTTTTCATCAACACTAATTACTTTCCACACCATTTAAACTCTCACCTTTACCTATTATTTCTTTAAAAGTTACTAAAGCACCCGTACACGAATGCCCCCATCCCAACATTAACTCTTTTATGACCGGCTTGAAGTCCCCCACTCTCCACTTTTTATCCATAAATGGTTTGAAGCCTCCCGTCCACTTTTTATTCACAAATGGCCATTCACGCTGTTTATTACCTACGGAGGGTGGTTGCCTAACGCCGGTGGTGAGATGGTGTGGGGTGAGATGGTGTGGACCAGACAATTGACCACCACTGCAGCCCATCTGACAGGACAATACATCCCATATTTCCATCCTTAATGTTGCCCTTCTAACATAATACTATACCTACATTTCCACCCTAATGTACTCTTCTGACATGATACTATATTCCCAAATGTTGCCATTTTGACATGACACTATTGCCCAAATTTCCATCCCTAATGTTGCCCTTTTGACAGGACACTATAGCCCATATTTCCACCCATAATGTTGCCGATCTGTCACATGTCTATAGCCCACAGATGCGCCATTATTTATACTCGCGTGGTCGTCATGGCGACGATAAACAAGAGGCCAGTTAATTAGGTTTGAAGCAGGGACTAATGCTTGTCCTGTTGGCAACTCCATAGTCCGACTGGACCCCCCACCCCCGTCTCACCATACCACCACGTGAATCTGTAATGAGATTTTCCGCCATGAAGAAATGTAACGACGAACGTAACACAATTTCCGAGTTATAAATAGCAACAGTTGGGCAAAGTAGGAAGGCGTCGATTACTGGGGCGTTAGGTGTGGGGGTGTGACTGACGTATGAGGGGGGTGGGGTGTGCAGGCTACAGAAAGGGCCATCCGAATTTTAATCGTTGTTTATTTGTACCATGAACCCGGTAAGTTTTTACCCCCCCCCCCCCCCAAAAGAAAGCCTAATCTTCAACTTTTTCTCGATATATAAAAATTGAGCCTTAATGGTTATGATAAGGCCATAATAGGTTTAGGTGCAGGCTTATGCTAGTGGTAAGATTTTGGTTTTTGGTCTATCTCACCAAATGCCTCATCCCCACCCCCTCCCACACTCAAAGATATTACAAGGGCAATTTTCGTTAAGTTATCAAAGAGTGTACCTCCTGAGAAACCGCTGACTCAGACGGTGCTGACTCCGTCGACGCAGACTTGGATGACGTCACGAGGTCAGACTCGTGCATCTGCTGGAGGGCAGACGATCGATCATTTTCCCGCCACGATGCGCTGTTAATGGGCAGTCAAATAAACAAGTTGTCAGATCGTTTCTTCGCCAGACAGCCATGATGGACAGTTATGCTACGTTGGACAGTCCATTTACGCTGGACAATTACCCCGGACAGTCAAATTAGGCCGGATATTTAGATTATGCTGAATAGTCCATCTACGCTGGACAATCCAATTTTGCTGGACAATTCATTTATGCTGGGCAGTCCATCTATCTATTAGTAGATTGACAACAGTAGGCTACAGTTATTCCACCAAAAAAAAAATATCCTGGGTCTTAACCCCCACCCTCATTAGTAGCTGACCATGTACATATCATAGTATACTTGGTTCTTCTCACACAAGTAATTTGCTAATGGTG